GGTCGGCGGTTTGTGGGGCCTTTTAAAGTCCTGAGGAGATTGAATGAGGTGTGTTACAGGTTAGAACTACCTATTGATTACAAGAATATTAACCCCTCATTCCATGTGTCTCTCCTCAGGCCGGTGGTAGCTGGTCCACTCCAGGACTTCGAGATTGAGGAGACTCCTCCGCCCCCGTTGGAGATCGAGGGGGCTCCGGCGTACACTGTTCGGACCATCCTGGATTCCAGACGCCGGATGGGGGGTCTCCAATATCTCGTGGAGTGGGAGGGGTACGGTCCGGAGGAACGGTGCTGGGTGCCGAGGAGGGATATTCTCGATCCGTCCCTGATGACCGAATTCCATCGTGGTCATCCTACGCGCCCGGCGCCGCGCCCTCCGGGGCGTCCCCGAGGCCGGAGTCGGCGCACGGCTGGAGCCGCGCGTCAAGGGGGGGGTACTGTCACGGTTTCGGCCGAGGCAGCTCCTCCTCCTTGTTCGGGCAGGTTTCGCCGTTCGTCGTCTCCGGAGTACTAGCTGCCACCGCTCCATGTTTTCTGTTTGACTAGCTTTGTCTGATTAGTCACACCTGTCTTGTGTTTGTCTAATTAAGCACCCTATTTAGTTTCCCTGTTTTGAGTGTTGTGTTGTGTGTAATTGTTTCGTGTTGGTGTCGTTTCGTACCTGTGTTTGGTACGCCACCTCTGTATTGCCTACTTCTCGATTTAGAGGAGTTTTGCGCGCCTGTTTTGGGGGCTTGTGTTTCACGCCTGTGTGCGTTTTGCCTCTGGCTATTTTGGATTATTGCATTGCATTTTCCAGTAAAGTATTTTGGACTCTCCTTCTGCTTCTGCACTTGATTCCACACCACACCTTTTCTACACGGCTCTGACATGGAGGAATAAAAATAGCATAAATAGAAAAGTATACCAGTTTCATTTGAGGACCAGGATGTTGACAGCTGAGCCATACAGATTGCAAAATAGTTGGGAAGAGATTTTTGATGTACTGATTCCATGGTACAGGGTGTATGAGTTCATATATAAAACGACGCAAGATTCATGACTTTGTGCTTTTCAGCTAAAATTATTATATAGAATTCTTGCCACCAACAAAATGTTGAATATTTGGGGCATACAACTCATCGAAGCTCTGCAGATTTTGTTGTGAGGATACAGAATCAATAGACCATTTATTTTGGAATTGCCCTCAGGTAGCCTGTTTCTGGTCTCAGGTTCAGGAATGGCTGAAAATGCATAACATTGATCTAAAATTGACCCTAGAAATAGTACTGTTGGAAGATCTTGAGAGACCGGGTCAGTCAATTACTAATATACTAATTCTATTAGTAAAAGTATTTATCTTCATCTCGCAATCTGTGGATTTTATTCGATTAGATAGATTGAAATTGTATGTTAAACATCACAGCATAGTTGAAAGATATAGTGTGTAGAGATCCGAAAAGGGTGGCCAGCAGAGATAGGTGGGATGGGCTGAGGGAAGCTGTGGGTTGAGATGTGTAACTGGAGACAAGTGGGAGTGGAGTTGCTGGGCAGGGGATACAATGAGGGTCAAAAATAAAACAAAAAATCAAATAAAGTCAAAATGGGGGGGGGGGGGGGGGGGGGGGGGTCTTGGATGGTTGAGGGGCAGCTCTTGGGGAACTGTGGGGGGATCTTGGAGGGCTGGTGGCCGGGCGGTTGGGAGCTTTGGCCGGTGGCTGATGGATCGCTGGTTCGGGTCCCCGATTTTTGACCTTGTAGGAGATCTGTCGATGTGCCCTTGAGCAGGGCATTGACCCTGGTTGCTGCTGTGTGTCGCTCTGGATGGGAGTCTGCTAGATGACTAATGTGATGTAGTTTTGAGCGGCTTCACTGCAAGTATATTGTATGTTTTAAATATTAAATAAAAAAATAATCTAAAAAAATAAAAAATCCCATTACTGTCATAGCTGCAAGATAGGATAAATGAAACAAATTAGCATGCACACACATTTAGCACCATGGCAATACTGGCACATCTCACTGCTCTGCCCTTTGTTTAGAGCCACTTCCTGTGACACTTGTCACGGCTACTGGTCTAAATAGCTATATCATTTTGCTATTGGTGGATGTGCATGTGTATATTTAATTGTTTGTCTGTGTGTATGTGAAAACGTGACGTGTGAAATAGACAAAAAAATAACAGAGCACATTTTTTTCACATGTACGATTTCACAGTCTTTATAATTAGCAAACAAACAGGATCAGGGGCATGCGTCATGCAGCCATTATTTTCGGATGATGGAGGAGGTGGTAAGTTGGAGAATTTTGCATTTTTCAAACACCTGAAACATATTTTTCCTGCAATCTAGAGCCATAATCATGATGCCTAATTCTATGTTAAAAATAGATTTTTCTGCATAGGTTATCTAAGCATACCTCTTTACCTGTCAGAATGAGGGTGTCCTTCTGACTGTTGTAAATCCCACATCTCAATATATTGCACTAACATGCCTAGCATATTACATCCAAATTACAACACAGTACATGGGAGCATAACATACATCATCAACGCAGGCACATATCATGGCATCATAATCAATACAGAAATATCTTGATATTATCATAAGGTGTCAGATCACATTTAAACAAAGTATTTTTCTGCATATCTAAGCATAACTCCTGACTGGTGTATTTTAAAAAAAGAAACAAAATATGCTTTTCTGCATCTCTGCAAAAATCTGGGTAAAAGAGAAATGTGAATGTTGTTCAGTACATTTAGCATTTCCTTGCTTTTCTAAAGTCTACCAACCTTGCCAGCAGGCATGCCAGCTAAGATAGTTAGGCAATCTACTCCAATTTGATTGATAGCCTGAAATAGCTTGGTAGCTAGGTATGAGGTTGGGAGATTGGGAACATATCTAGCTGGCAAAAATTGCTAGGTGGCTAGTAATACAGAGAAACAAAACATTTTTGCTTTATTTATTTATCAAGAAGGAATCAATAGTCTACATGGCTTGATCAAATTCATTTACAAACATACCTCCTGCGAGTCCTGGCCATCACCGGCCACTAAAGTCAAATCAACTGCTGTGTGTGTCACTCGAAACTCTCTCTCCTCCTCCACTGACGATACTGTCTGCATGCACTAGAGCCCTCAAACTCAACTCTGGACCTCGAAGCCAGTTCCATTGCCTGGTCCAGTCATTGTGCCCTCTCTACAAAATACAGCTGACAGATCTTTTAATAAATAATTATAATAAAATGTGGGCTTAAAAATTAAGTTCAATAATTAATTTAACATTTGAAAAATAAATAAACAGATAAAATCTGAGGGGGCACGTGCCATTGTGCCCCCTATGGGCATGACGCCTCTGAACAGCATACAGGAAACCAAGGTGATGCCCACAATGAGGCAGGGTAGAACAGGTGCCTCTACAGAGAAGCAACAGTGTTCATTACAACCCCCTGTACCTTTTCCATTATATTCGATTTTGCAGATTGGGTAAAACACATTTTGCTCACACTTAACAGCAGCAGTCTGTTTTGAAGTCAGTTTTGATTCAATCTGGTTGTAGACAAACATCCATACAGATCACAATTAAAGCCATTCCGACCCAGTGTTCTTGTTGGACTGACACTATGTGTGGTGTGCTAGAGTGAGTTAGTGACAGCGTGCTCAGAGGCCTTGTGAATGGTAGCTACATTAACCCCAGCTAACTAAGCTGTCCTCACACCTCCAATAAGCTGTCAGAATGAAATTAGGGCCTCAACCACCACCCTCAGAGAGACTGCCCAACCCTGTTAGATACACACACTTCCTCCGCTTTCACTCAGTGTAACCATGTCTATACAATTTTTTGGCAAAAGATGACACCAGGGTTATGATTTTGGGTTGAAACCCACTTGTTATCACGACACACTGGGAAATCAGAGTAGGAACTTCGTGCAACACATCCATTTTTTTGGGAGGAGAAATTCACTTAAAAAAACAACTAACCTTTTTAACAGAACATAACACCAAGTCAAGTCACAAACACCAACAGAAATTGCCTCTGGGAATTAATCCATTTCATTAGGCTCAAAGCCAGTGTCTCTGGGTTCAGCAAGTGCCAAGAAAAAGTATGTTGTTTTCTAGCTACGCTACCTAGCAACAGATAAGAAACTAATCCAATTGTGATGTACATTTGGCAGGCTGGGTGCTGTTCCTGGCCTGTCAGTAAACATGGCAGCCATAATGTCACTGTTGGTGACTGTAAAGATAGCACTTCGCTTTGGATTAATTGAGTTCCAGGGAGCTGATTGGGTTTGAGACTGCAGGGAACAACACCTGTTCAAAGATACTCCAACACACCTAACAAGCACTGGGCTGGGCTGGGGATTCAAACCATATGGCCCAGGCAAAGACAAATAGAAGGGGAGGGTGGGGGGAGGAGGGGGGGGGGGGTGGAGAGCTAGGGAAAGGGGGGCAGAGAGAAAAAGAGAGAGAAAGAGGAATCAAAATAAAAGTAAAGCTACATACATTGAAATACATTCGGAAAAAGGGATTAAGAGAGAGTAAGAAGAAGGAGAGAAAGTAAGAAAGATGTCAAAATCAGGCGAAAGCGTAGTAGAATGAGAGAACAACAGAAAAGAGTGAGCTGTCTTTGCAGACTGCTGTCCTCTGTCCTCCTCTGTTTAGTGTGTAATCCATTTGGAGAGTGAGGGGTTCAGAGCAGGGTCATCTCCCCCCTCTGCCACTGCCAGACCTGCATCCCAGCTCAAGGTCGCGACAGTGTTTACACGCTCTGCCTCGCAATAGCTGTGGGACCTGCTCATCGTCTTTGGCAGCAGGGCTGCTGTAGTGACACCCAAGGTAAATAGAATGAACGATCTCTCCGCCTCTCCTCATTCTCTCCTCCTCCCTGTTCCTACAGTGGGTGTCTGGCTGGAGACCCGTTGTCGTCTCTAACTGCGTATATGAGATATATGTAATGGCTGCTGCTATGGTATATGACCTTTGACCCCTACCTATAAACCATGCTGTGGTTCCTGATGCTCTCATAGGGTGCTGTCGTTGGTGGGGTCGGACTCGGGACTGGCGGCCCCCGGGGTCTCCTTGGCGGGGGCGGGGACCTCAGAGAGCAGGCTGAGGCAGGTGGCTGGGTTCCGGGAGGTGCAGCGGGAGAGGAGCTGGCCCCCTGGGGGCCCCTGGCTGCGGCAAGGACACAGGTAGCCCTTGAGGTGCAGCCAGACCTTGCTGTGCAGGGAGGCGTAGATGAAGGGGTTGTAGCAGGCGGAGCTCATGGCCACCAGGTGGCAGCACACCTGCAGCACGTTGACGTAGCGCTTGCCCACGATGTGGTAGTCTGGGTCCAGGTCAAGCAGCAGGTTCAGCACCTGTAGGGAGGGAGGAGAAATACACACAGTCAGGGGTCACATACATTAGGATTACATTGGATTACTTTGGGATTATGTACAGCCTAGGTGATGTAACTGCCCCTAAAATGCTTTTTCATCCTATTTTCTCAAAGAAATCTGCTCAATTATATTAAAATGTCAACAATGTCAGGAAAATTGATGGGCTATCAGGAAAGTGCAGTGGGCTATCATTGTGAGTGCATTGTGCCTGTGCCTGTGCCTGGGTGTGTGCCTGTGTGTGTGTGTATGTGTGTGTGTGTGTGTGTGCACATCCACATCCGTGTGTGCGTGTGTTCTCACCTGCAGGGGCAGCCAGCAGAGGGCAAAGGCAAGCACAGAGGCCACCAGGAGAGAAAAGGTTTTCCTCCTCCTCTGGCTCCAGCGCTGCTGGCAGTGTGAGGGCTCTCCGGGCAGCGTGTGGCGTCTCAGGTGCACTGTAATAGCACAGTAGGACACGCTGACTGACAGCAGAGGGATCATATAGGACGCTACCAGGATACAGCAGGAGTAGAGCAGCCTGAGCTGGCCAGAGCTCGGCCAGAACTCCTCACACACCACCAGCTCCACCCCACGGGGCCTCAGGTCCAGGTAGCGAGTGTGGAAGGAGGGAGGGGCAGCCAGGGCCAGAGACATCCCCCACACCCCCAGCACCACCGCGCCACAGCCCCCCACAGAGATCCTCCTCCTCACTGGGTGGGCCACCACCACGTAGCGGTCCACAGCGATGGCCGTGAGGGACAGCACCGAGGCGAAGACAGTGGCGGCCTGCAGCAGCGGCACCAGGTGGCAAAGAGGGCGTCCGAAGGCCCAGCCGTGGCTGTCGAAGGCATACGAGGCGGTCAGAGGGACGCAGGTCAGACACATCAGCAGGTCGCCGGCCGCCAGGTTACCGATGAAGAAGTTGGTGGCGTTGTGGAGCTTCTTATCAGCCAGGATACAGGCCAGCAGGATGGAGTTGCCTATGCCGGCCACAGCCACCAGGAGGCAGTAGAGGGGCAGGAAGAGGGGCTTGAAGCGCAGCAGCAGCTGAATGCCAGAGAACATGTCCAGGGGGTTGTTGCTGTGGTTCAAGGAGGGGCCTCCAGTAGTGTTGGCCCCACTCAGGACCTCTTCCAGGATGGGATCCATCTCAGTACACTGCTCCCCTATGGCACAAAATAGGGAGTCACTACATTGTGGCAGTTAAAAAAGACTGGAGGAAACATCATCATTTACAGCATGATAGACCAAAGAAGAGGGTTGAACCAATATCTAAGTTCACTTAGATTCCGATTTCAATCTGTTCATAACCATGACCCTCAGTAGCCCCATCTGCCTTAGCTGCTAACATAATATGTACCAAAGATTATGGATAAACTGACAAGATACATGTCTCTCCGCCCCTAATAATGGGAGTCGTTGTCCACAAAGCGGCATGGCGGGCTGTCTAGCTCCCACCTATCCTTTCTTTGATTGGTGGATATATCTCATTATTGTAATCCTTTTTTAAATATTCAATGAGGGTTGTTGACGTCAACCGCATGTATTCAATGGAGAGAGATGCTATGCTACTAGCCTCATGCCATGAATATGCACAGCCATCTCGAGACAACTCAGATAAAAATAGTTTTTTCTCCAAGTTGCCTGGATGTCACGTGTCCTACTTACATCAGTACACTCCTAACAACTTAAGCATTACGACACTTCTATTAGATCAAATAAACCTCACGTAGCAAATTAGCCATTCATTTGTTTGTTGACCAAATCCGACACTCTCCATACATAACCTCCTTGCTTGGTGGGCGAAACAACAAAAAAGCAGCACCTGCTGGTGGGAGACATCTTTTTCACCGAGTTGGGCATCTCTCTTCCTCTTCCTCTATGTATGTCCTAACCCAAATTTCATTTTATTTTTGGGAGGCGGGATGTGTGCGTCTATGTAAATATCTTTCCTGTCCAGTCTCTTTAATACCTTGACCGCTCACTTTACTGGCCGCACTCACTTTACTCACTTGGTATAAGCACCAGCGCCTCGGATATGCATCCGCTGTAACAACGCTGTTGCAATGCACTTCATAGAGCTCTTCCAGCCACTTACTTCTGAGCCTTGATGAGAGCTGAAAACCCTCTGATTGCAAATCAGAAGAGCTCTACATCTCATCCAAAACCCAACCATGTCACACCTGCACTGACGCATATTTGTGGGATGAATCAGATGGCTTTATTAATTAAAATGTGTTTCTTTCTAGTTCATTATTTATTAGATTAGGAAAGGAGATTATTAGTGACCCCCAATCATAGCCTACTATTTGAGGATTTCTATTATGATTGCCCATAATCAAATATGCTTTAGCCAAGAAATACAGAGGTGGGTAGACTGATATACAGAGACAAATAGATGAAGGTTTTTCAGTCGCTCTCAATATGGTAAATCAACAGGTGGTGAGGAAGATGGAGGGATTTAATATGTAGCCTAAATCATTGTGCTGTGACATGACAAACAACAGTGAATGGTGTCTTCATGCCATAATGTCTAGTGCCTACAGTACATTTGAGTGGATCTTCAGTCACTGTCTTTATAGGCTGCATATGTGATGTACTTGTCCAAGCAGAGAGAGACATTGAGATGAAAGACAGTCCTATACTCTTGAGTGATATTGCAGTCTAGTATTGGATGGTATTTCATCTGTGAAATGACCAGGCTCCCTATTTAAAATCTATGGCAACAGAGATAACAATCAAATTGCTCCTGAAACACACTTAATCTGTTGCCCTGCTATCATGATGGACCAATGTCATTATGGCACAGTATCTGATCTAGTACACTAGTGGATCAAGCAGACCACAAAAACGCACAAGAAAAAGACTGGCAAAACTAACACAAATATCAGAATAATAGTCAGAATAATAATACATTTATAAAAAATGGACACATACCTTTTTTTATCTGTGATTTAACAAATAACATATGATTACACATTCTAATATTTGGTAACATTTGAACCATTAACAATTTAAAAAAATCATCAAACTCATCAAATCAGCCATACATACTGTAGTTTTAGTCCATTTTTTTTGGCCTAAATAAACCTTTCAAAATATAATTTCAAATGTTCACATTTTCTGTATTCCACAACAAAACAAGCAACATTGATTTAAGCTGTGATTATGTGTATTCTGTTTTTTTCTATGCATAAGTGTTGTGCATTGTGTGTAGTGTGTATGGCATGTGTAAGGTGTGTGGAAGATAAGCGAGAGAAGCCTACTTGTACAATGCCTTGCTTTTCCTGAGAGGCAGTATGCGTCTCTCCTCTCTGTCACGTCTCTTCACTTCAGTGACTGTCTCTCTCCTCTTCCTCTCCTCTTCCTCTTCTCTTCCCTCTCTCCCTGTGATGTGAGCATAACACCCCCCCCCCCCCCTCTCTCAGAGCCCAGCCAGTGCTTGTCCTTCAGCAGACAGTCTGGGAATGAGGGGTAGCAGGCTGCCACAGACGCTCATATGCACTTAGATAGTGAGAACACTTTCACTCACAGCATATAGTGATTGTAAAGAGAGATTGTGTGGTGCCCCCACACTATCCTCCCTTCTCTCTCTCTCCCCCTCCCTATTTTTCTCCCTCTCTACCTCTCCCTCACACCCTCCAGAGATGTCAATCACACAAACTGCATGAATTTCTACATTATTTCCCTCCTAAAACATGTCGCTAACCTCCTTCCGTAAGTGCACAACGCAACACACATAGTTCTCTCTCTTACGCAGTCAGACACAAATCCAAACCTGCATCAAATGATAACAACAGATGAACAACCTGCAATTAAATGTATCTTCAGGCTATCCCTCCATCCCTTTCTGCCTCACACACATGCATGCACACACACGCACACACCACAGGAGGTTGGTGGCACCTTAATTGGGGAGGACAGGCTCGTGGTAATGGCTGGAGCGGAATTAAAGGAATGGTATCAAATACATCAAACACACAGTTTCCAGGTGTTTGATGCCATTCCATTCGCTCCGTTCCGGCCATTATTATGAGCCGTCCTCCCCTCAGCAGCCTCCTGTGACACACACTCACAGTATTTTTTTTTTAACTTAACGTACAATTGTAAGGTCTCAGATACACCAGTAGCGTTTGCTGGCCGAGAGTACTGAGCACCTCTGAATGTTATTTGCGAATGTTATTTGCGAACTGAGTGGGCACCGATTTTACATGGAGAATCGCATGAAATATTTCAGCAGACGTCTCCATCGGGTGGTCCCTAAAACACAGCCTGCTGAATGATCGGTAGACGAATGCTAGATCCACATTTGGTGCGATGTGTGCGAGCGCTAAGGCAACCAATTGCAATAGGATTGTGAGTTTGCGCAACTTGTAGATTAAGATAATATTCAAAGGTAAACGTTTATTATTAATTTTATGAATTTGGCATCCTATCTATAGGGCTAATGTTAGTTTATTTCAATCACTTTGGCACATTTTTCAGATGTAAGTGGTATATTTTCAAAACTCTAAGTACAAAACTCAAAACTGATAACACTTGTAATGCCCCCTATCTTACCTTCAGAACCTTTGATTGCGCATTCATTAGGGTTTCACACATCTTTCACCCCTGAGTCATTCATGCAAAATCTAAGTTTTCTGTGAAATACCATGAGAACATTTTGTTTAGTCACCAATACATCAGATAATGATAGGCTCACCATTTACCATTTAATCCAATAGCAAAAAATAGAAAATACACATTTCAAAACTGTTCTTTTTGAAATGCTGGTTAGAAAGAATAGTAGATAGTATTAAGATTTTCCATACTGTATTTGACTAAAACTTGAAATGCACAATTCTTTAAATAATTTGTATCCAATGGCAGGTTGTGAGCATGCTGTGAAATATGTCAGTCTTACAGTTTCATTATCTTTATATAGCACACATTGGACAAATCATCAGAAATGGGGTATTGTAAAGCAGTTGGCTACTGTAAAAATGTAGCAAGGTGTTATATGCCATTCATGCCCCATGCAACATTGTACAAGATCACCTTTTCTAAATGTCAGCTGATACAGTATCTCCTATCTCTCCTTGAAATTCATCAGCTTACATTGCTTTAGGACTGTACAATTCCAGGAACTTTCAATAAATTCTCTGGTTTTCCAGAAATCCTGGTTGGAGGATTCCCAGAATCAGAAGGCAATAAGCAGGAAATCCAGAATCCTCCAACAAGGATTTATGGAAAACCAGGGAATTTATTGAAAGTTCCCAGAATTTTGCAACCCTACATTGTATCAATTTAATTTATTCACAAGTGTAAGGACCAGAAATTGAAATGGGTTTAGCATATTTATTGAGGAAATATTGAGAATGAGAATGGACCAAATGAAGCCAAGGGCTGCAGATGAAGGATCCAGGAGAGTTCACTCTATAGGGCACATGTGTCAAACTCATTCCACGGAGGGCCCAGTGTCTGTGAGTTTTCGCTCCTCCCTTGTACTTGATTGATCAATTAAGGTCACTGATTAGTTAGGAACTCCCCTCACCTGGGTGTCTAGGTCTTAATTGGACACAAATGTAAAGGAAATAACAAAAACCAGCATACACTCGGCCCTCCAGGGAATGAGTTTGATACCCCTGTAGGGTTTGGCTTGGAGTCTCATCACCATCAGGCCGTGGTAGTTAGGCTGTTGGGGTGAAGGCAATCCCGGAAGAGCCTTAAAGGAACCAAAGTAAAAGGAGAACGACATGGGAGGAGGAGGGATGCAATGCAAAACAGAGAGGAAGAATGACTGTTTGGTCGGGTTTAAATAGGAGGGTAGTGGTGATTAAGTAGAGTGAGAACAGGTGTGGAGGCTGATTAGCAGTTAGTTGCAGCTGGAGCTTGTTTGAGGAGCTACGTTCAAGGCAACTAGTTAAGTGTTGCAAACAGTAGGAAGCTGATTGGCAATGGTTAGCGCCTGGTGCTTGTTGAGTTGCTAGGGAGCTGCTTTCAAGGCAACTAGTTAAGGGTTACATTGAAATCTGGTCCTCACCCCTGAATTTTTGTTAGTCCATAAAGGAAAATTCCACCTAAATTATATTTTGGTATTTGTTTCATTAGTCCATTGTTAACATCAGTGGTGTAAAGTACTTAAGTAGTACTTTCAAGTATTTTTACTT